ATAACAGTGTCAATATTTTCACAATTTGATCAATTATACGAAAATTACGGAAAAACTGTTAGATTTACGGTAAACATGTATATGAAACTTTTTGGAGGAAATTTAATTTTGAAGACAAGAAGCTATTATTGTACCGAATTAGCCAACTCGTACGTAAACTAGACGCGTTTTAGTAAAACCATGCAATTTTGACTTTGAGGGGGGGTGGGGGGGAAAGCACCAGGGGGATTTTTTTGGGACTTTTGGGAAAATGTATATCTAGTTGGGTACTAACGATTGGTATATAGTTTTGCCTGTCGCTAATTTGTTTTGACATCGGCTATATATTTGTCTTTATTGACTGGGCTATACTGAAACATTTTTGACATACGGATCAATATATTTTTGCAATCCGTTCCTTAATAAAAACCTGTATAATGTCATAATTTTCGCGCGAAATATAAGAATTTGTATTTCTTATGGCTACATTATCGATCATAGTTAGTTGTAATGAAGAGTTGTAATAACCATTATGAATCAGTAAATTTTTGGGTTGGGTTTGAGAGTATTATATTTAAATTTCAACACAAATCAATCTATTTTAAATAGGTAAATAAATTTAAATATTTTTTACCGATTTTACCAGAAAGCTGGAATCAAAGTCAGACTTGACTGTGCATTTATTGAATTATTAAACAAAATAATGATAGTAGTTAAAGGGTTTTGTTTAGATAGTAGTTTAAATAAAGCTTCCGCAGACACAGGGTCTAAAACTATTGTAAAGCACAATACTAGTGAGTTTTTCCAAACAATAGCGATAATAAAGCTAGTGATTGATTGATGATTTTTATTTCTCATCGCTACTGTTGGCTTACAAGCAAAAATTAATAGGCTACAATAAAGCTCAAGGCTGTAGCAAGCATAACGATATAATTCCATTAAATGGAAATCATACAAATATACAAATTTTGTCATCGATACTTTTGCCTATTTACTACATTGGTTTTGTTTCAAAAATACCATTAATGTAGGCCTACTATATTAGTAAAGCAGTGTCGTAGATAGACCCTCAGGGCTACTGGGGGTCTCCCTCGGGAATTTTTTTAACATTCACAATTAATTGACCTTGACTTTAATAACAAATAGACACTCATATCCATATAGTCGCGAACCAGGGGAAGTCTAAAATTATAAACAATCCAAATATCGGAATATTCTCAAAGTTTTGTAGTCGCTGCTTCAACCTAATCACCTAAAATATTTATCATACTATACTAGGCTATATATACAGGGTGAATTTTAAATGAGTTCCCCCCCTACTTTTTTCTACATTTCTTAAGATATAAACTTCGGACCACGTCAGATCATTTTAGTGTAGTAAGTACTTCATTTTGACTTAATAAACATTTTTGGCCGCCATCTTGGATCCGCCATATTGGATACAAAATTTTTTTTCAAATGTAAAGGTAGGGTTGTGACCCATTGTTTCAAACTAGAATTTCACGCTGATTACAATGCCGCAATTAGTTTTAAAAAATCTTGATACGTTCTAAAGTTATGAGGACTTTTTATAACTTTATTTTTAGCCCATTTTAACATTGTGCATTTACAAACTAAGACCATAATCTCAAAATAGTGCTAGATAAAGATAAGTATACACCACCATTCATTGTTGACCTATTATCACTTGGTTATGACGGATGTATTTTTTTGGCCGCCATCTTGGATCTGCCATTTTGAAATGTGATAAATTAATTTAAATATGAAGGTGGTGTTGTGACCCATCATTTCAGACTACTTTTTTATGCTGAATTTAATGCCGCAATCTGTTTTGCATTTTCATATTTGTTTTTTGAAATATTGGAAATTTAAGTAAGATAATTTTAATATTTCATCAAGAAAGCCTAAGAAACAAAAACGGATTGCGGCATTGAGTTCAGCATAAAAAAGTAGTTCAAAATGATGGGTCACAACACCACCTTCATATTTAAATTAATTTATCACATCTCAAAATGGCAGATCCAAGATGGCGGCCGAAAAAAATTAATCCGTCATAACTAAGTAATAATAGGTTGACAATGAATGGTGGTGTATACTTATCTTTATCTAGCACTATTTTGAGATTATGGTCTTAGTTTGTAAATGCACAATGTTAAAATGGGCTAAAAATAAAGTTATAAAAAGTCCTCATAACTTTAGAACGGATCAAGATTTTGTAAAACTAATTGCGGCAGTGTAATCAACGTAAAATTCTAATTTGAAACAATGGGTCACAACCCTACCTTTACATTTGAAAAAAAAAATTTGTATCCAATATGGCGGATCCAAGATGGCGGCCAAAAATGTTTATCCAGTAAAAATGAAGTACTTACTACACTACAATAATCTGACGTGGTCCGAAGTTGATATCTTAAGAAATGTAGAAAAAAGTAGGGGGGGAACTCATTTAAAATTCACCCTGTATATATACTGTGTAGTATATATATATATATATTGTACGTATACAATATATACTTTTTGACATACAGATCAATATATTTTTACAATCCGTTCCTTAATAACAACCTGTATGTTGTCAAAAATATAAATATAGGCTATATATATATATATATATATATATATATACAGAGTGATCAACTCAAGGAGGCCACCATTGGGATATCGGAAACGGTAAGAATTAGAGAAAACTTTAAATGGGGGACATTCCTTTATTTTTTGTGGCAGTTAAAAATATGATTTTAGTTTTTTTGAAATTCAGCCGCCATTTTCCAAAATGGTGGCCAACTTTGAAATGTCTTATGAAACACCCTATATTTGCATGTTTTCGGATAAAATAGGCAATTTAAAAACTTTTTTATCCTTGACATTTTTTCGATAAACCCACTCGTTTAGGAGTTACAGCCTATGGAAAAATGACTTCCGGTGTACATTTTACATTATGTAGCTCCTAAACGAGTAATTTTCGAGCAAAATTGCAACAAGTGAATTAGTCTTAGAATTGCAACAAGTGAATTCGTCTTAGAATTGCATCTACATTCCATAAAGACTATAAAATAAACAGTTTTCCACTTTTCAAGATTGCCGCCGAAAATAAACATTATTTTCCTATTCTTTCCTCAAAAAGTCGAACAGAAAAATAATTTGCATAACCTTTCCTTTGAAGACTCGGGGGTAGAGCCTCAATTTATATACATCAGGGGTTATAGAATCTTTCTCATTTCCTATAATCAATGGCAAAATCACAGAATAAAAAACTAACCTGATAGTTCATTAGAATATTTTTATATTCAACCAGCTGTTAGTTAAAACAAATTATATTGCACTAAAACATACTTACAATTTCAAAGACCGATGTAAAAAATAAATTAGAATATTTACCATTTTACCATGTATATTTTTACCAATTAAATGAACATATCAATGACTATAGCATTACACATAGAATAAATAAGTCAACCCTATGCATGTCATTTATTATCCAAATGCTCAATTTGTGTCACACACGCTTAATGTTTACAGCTGTTACGGCAAATGGTATTATACCAAAAGCTAGTGTAAAATGTTAGCGTCGGCTGCTAGACTTTTTAAAATTTTAAACTTATTAAAAAAAAAAAAAAAAACTGAAACCCTAAACTAAAATTATGGCTTCGACATTCCCTAGTTCTCAAAATTATCTTTCTTTCAACACAAAAATCATGAAAATCCGTCAAGTGGTTGGTTCTGAATCGTGAAATAAAAAAAAACCCTGTCATGTTTTAATATTATAGAAGATAGATGATAGTTTTTACAGGTTTCAACCCTTCCAAGGCTTAATATATGTACACAGTTTATGTGTACATTAAAAGTCATAATATAGTTCTAAAATTAAATGGATCTCCTTTTACAAACGTATATAATAACCAGAAATTTTGAGATCGTCCTGACCGTAGCGTCAAGGTTATTGTTACCTCTTCTTAGGTGAAATATCTCTCGAACCAGATTGTACCATACATTTTTCAAAAACGAATGTGTAGCATATAATTATTAGCATCAATTTTTCCATTGACATAACATCCCTGACCAATACGTAAACTGATTGCGAGCTTACTAACTATTTCATGCCACAAATTTTAACGAAAGGTTTTTCATTACCTTATATTCGAAAAATAAACTATACCTATTTACAGTTTTGACCAAACAGTTGGCAAGAAGCATTAATAGATAAGCTATGTACAAAATATGATAATTTTAGCTCTATTCTAATTATGACAAAACACGAAGTAACTAAAAGCGAGTTTTATTAAATCGTCGTGTTTTGTTGAATCGGCGATACTGTTTAATTACTTTTGACCTGGCACTGTTGACTCAGCGAAACTGAACTTGTATTTTATCGTATTTCGTCATATTAAAACTGCTGTTGCATTAGGTCAAATTCCCAATGTGTCAATTGCTTTAACATAGACTACGTTTTTAGCACGGACTGTATTATTTGACTTACTGGGATTTTTGATCCATAGACACTGTAAACATTGTAGTTTTTGACCTATCGGCACAAGTATATATTATTTGACCTTCCGGCACTGTCGACTTCCAGCAAAATTGCCCATATTTCAACCAGCTGTTAATTACAGTTAGTTTGCAACAAATACCTATATTTTTCTAAGGTCCTTTTTAACTTTTTCAAACAAGTAACAGTTATTCTTTGGTTTTACTAAATAAAATAAAAAAATAATCACACAAAATTGATTGAGGTGTTATAAAACCCTTAAATGAAGAAATGGCTTTCTAATTCTATTTTTTGTTTTACAAACATTAAAATAAATGGCTAAATAGCTACAGCATTTCAACTTTGTCAAGGATAAAGCTTGTGATTATAAATGTATTGTTAAAAATCTAATGATCTATTCATACAAAGCAAAATGGACAGATCTGATGATTGAAAATAATAATCAAAATAAGAAATTATTTTGAAAATTCGACTTTAGAAACCTTAAAAATACAATATATCCAAAATTAATAATAAACCGAATCAATATTCAGACCTTTTCTCGCCTTATGTTTGGATCTGGAATTCTCTCAAAGGCTGCTAAAAATTTTACTCCGTAGTTCCTAGAAACCTTCTTGCCTTCTTCAGAGCTATCCAGCAGTTTAGACACCACGGGGTCTTCATCCTGTTGACACATTTTGTGTTTACACCATTAATGATTAGCATTGTATTGTTAGCAGCCATCAAATTAGTTCTGGAATGAAGTGTGTTGAATCAACATTTTGTGCTCAATATATATTAGTTAGCATTTTACCACGGCCACCTTTAACTCCAGGCCGCGGCCTTTGTTATCTTATGGGACGTCTGGTGCTCCACAACACTACTTGCAACGTTGCCAATTCTACCAGGCCGCGGCCTGGAGTTGAAGGTGGCCATGATTTTACATAAATAGCATATAGGGATGGACGAGTCCCGAAATTTCGGGAATTTTTCGGGAAAAAATATTCCCGATTATCGGGACGGAATTACATTTGATTCGGGAATTTTTCGGGACGGGATTTGGTCCGATCGCCGGCGATTTTGCCGCTTCGCGAGTGCCGATGACGCCGCTATTACAAGCGATAGGGCCGCGAACGCAGGAGACGAAGTCGTTTTGACAATCACGCCGTGATCGCGAGTCATACCGACGATTACCCTGTGACTGCGGAGTCATACCAACGATTACGACGTGACCGCGGAGTCACACCGACGATCATGCCGTGACTGTGAGTCATGCAGACGATCACCCCGTGACCGCGGAGTCATACCGACGATCACACCGTGACCCCAGAGTCATAACGACGATCACGCCGTGACCGTGGAGTCATACCGACAATCACGCCGAGACCGCGGAGTCATACCGACGATCACGCCGTGATCGCGAGTCATACCGACGATCATGCCGTGACCGCGAGTCATACCGACAATCACACCCGGAGTCATACCGACGATTGCGCCCTGACCGCAAGTCATACAGACGATCGAACCCCGTGACCGCGGAGTCATACCGACGATCACGACGTGACCGCGGAGTCATACTGACGATTGCGCCATGACCGCTAGTCATACCAACGATCACCCCGTAACCGCCGTCATTTTGACGATCACAATGTGACCGCGAGTCACAAGTTTCTATAGGTACCTGTAAATTGTTACCCATTTTTTTGGTTTTTATAGATCAGTGCCACAAACGTTAAAGATTGATTTTGTATGCCTTTTTTGGTAACTGCAATACTCAAGACTTTCTTTTTATGCAAAGAAAAAATCCCGTTCCCTAAAAATTCAATCCCGTCCATCCCTAAGTCAAACACCATACTTACAAGTTGTTTTTGTGAAAGCTCAGAAAACAAAGGATGTTCTCGCAGATGTTTGACGTTCCATTGATGAAGGTCGGGCACATCTGTCACTGTGTACAACCTCCCCTTCAACAAAAAGTTTATCAATAAATTTGTGTTCAATTGAATATAAAATTTTACAAAGTGGTCTTTTCCTTGTAGGCAAAGGTAATTTAAAGAACTATGCCGTTCTTAATAAATAGCTTGGAGTTGCTCTATTATATTTAAATCATCCAACACTGGATTTAAGTTTTGAGAATATTAAAAAAATCACTCTAATACAGTAATTTTTAAGGTATATAAAAAAAAAACTAAGGGAATTCCGAAAGAAATACCTACTGTAACGGGTATTCCAAAGTGAGACTTAATAAAATTTAGTAAAAACGATATTCAAGCTTTCAGCTATCAAAACATTGTATCTAAAGATTGATATCGAACATAGCCTTCGTAATGAATTATCTGGGAGGTCAAAATCTGTTTAAATCATATATTAGACTAAATTAAATATTGTGGAATAATGACGTATCGAATAACTTGAATATATAGAAAAACTACTTGTCCTATCGAGTTCAAAGTGGTACCAAATAAAATCATATGAAAATCCCTAAATTGTGTTAAAAAAACATAATGATCGGATAACTTGGAGAAATTAAGTAAAAATCCAAACCGCCATGACGTTAAGCGGAGCAAAATTGACCAAGAAAATAGTCCGAGACAAAAATGCAATTAACTCGTAAATTGAAAGTCTAATCAAAAAAGTTAAATCAGAAGAAAGTGATTAAAATATGTTTCTGAAGACGATTGTATAAATTTCATAAAGAATAAATTAAACTATAAAAAATATAGGAATGGTCTTTTAATTTGGCGGTTTTGGCGCGAAAAAAGATGGAAGAAGGTGGAAATAGTTAAAGTTATTAAAGAAAATATCTCGAGAAATACAGGTCCGATAAAAGCCAAATTAAAATAGAATGACTTTTATATTTTTTCTAGCTATTGTGCAAAATTTGTACAGTAGACTCCCTCTAGTTCGGCTTCGGTTCGATCGGCCGCCGGATGGTCCGGCCCGGTCTCAGGGGGACAAGTCATATCGTCACGGGCGAATGACCCTCGACAGGATTCAACTTGAATGTCTATACATTCAACAAACTAGACCCAATGCTTATCCATTATTTGGTTTTTAACTGTTTCCGGCTATAGAAGTAAACAATTCATGTCTGTTTAGTTGACGAGTGCTTCTATGGGTGAATTGTTGCATATTACTTATGTAAAACTATGTTACATAACCTCAAAAATACCAAGAACATTTTATAAATAGTTTTCTTCAGTCTAATATGTTGAAATGCAGTGTATCATTAATTAAATATTTCGGACCATTTTTTTATGCGGTAGGTGTTAGATAGTTAAATGTATAAGTAATTAATACATCAGCTGATTTATTATTATTAAGTTTGTTAGTAAATATTCTGCTTAGGTTGATGTGTTTAAGAATTCAATAAAATGGTTCTTTTATATTTTGAATATCATTTAGTGTAATTCTACATTGGCGACGATGAGTAAACGAACCAAAAGAAGAAATAGTTATTTCAATGAAGAAGATAAGTATGAAACTAAAGAAGACGCATTACAATCAAAGATAGAGAAGTTCAAATGTCAAAGCTATGATGAGTCTAGTAGGTGGGATGATTATGAAGCACATTTTCTATTGTTATGCAAGGTAAAAGGTTTGGGAGAAGATTCTCAGAGAGCAGAGGATGCTCGAAGGGATCTTTTGCTTGCCTATGTGGGTCCTGCACCATTAAGAAAAGTTTCAAACTTTCTGCTGCCTTTAAAAGTACATCAGGCTACGTGGGCAGAACTAGTTAATGGTTTCAGGTCAGTATACAAAGCTAGTAAAACTATATTTTCAGCTAGAATGGAATTTGAAAAAAGTATCAGAGAAAATAGTGAAAGTCTTTCAGAATTTGTAATACGTTTGAAAAATTTAGCAGATTTTTGTAAGTATGAGAACAAGTTTGATGAAAGAATAAGAGATAGATTTGCTGGAGGTATAAATTTTCCAGAGTTTGAAGTAGAAATTAGACAATGATGGCCTGATGGGGTAAAAGAAAATGGTGACAAGTTAACATCTGAAGATGTTTTTGAACTGGCCACTTCAATGGAAAGAGCTCGTCATGAGATATTCAAGAATGAGTTGGAAGTATCACAAGTAAGAAGAAACAATAAGGAGTTTAAAAGAGAAGTGAAATACAATGAAAAGACAAATCATCCATGTAGTAGATGTGGAACAAAGCATGAATTTGGTAAATGTCCAGCCTATCAACAAAAGTGTTTGAATTGTAAAAAAATAGGACATTTTGCAAAGGTATGTCGGCAAAAACGAGTGAATAATTTGCATGAAAAGTCAGAAGATGAAGAATCTGAATCGGACTCACATGACATGAGGATAAACGATGTTAAAAAGGAAAGAAGACATATTTGTAAAGCACGTATTCATTTGAAGTTAAATAAGGTAGCTACAAACATGGAATTTGACTCTGGAGCTTGGGCCTCAATGATAGGTAAGCCTCTTTGGGAGAAAATTGGTTCACCAAGACTTGATAAGACTAATTCAAAATACGTGGCATATGGAAACAATATTTTAGATATACTTGGTGAATGTTATGTCAATGTTACAGTAGGTGATGAGACACGTAGATTAAAAGTAGCAGTAGTAAATGGAAATGAGAAACCGCTGTTTGGTTTACCATGGATATTAGCCTTTAATATGAACCTCCCTCCTGATGTTACTATTAGTAAAGTAAAATGTAAGCAGAATCATAATCAATATAAGATGGATGATGTGAGGGTTAAGGAAGTACTAAAGGAATTTGAAGATGTGTTCTCTGAAGGGCATGGGAAAATCAAGGGTTATAAAGCACGAATTCACGTTCGAGAAGATGCAAACCCTCAACATTTTTCAGCGCGCAGGGTTCCGTTTCCCTTGAAAAAACGAATTGAGAATGAACTTACAAGACTTGTAAATGAGGATATCATTGAAGATGTAGATCCTGCTGCTACACCTATTCCCTGGGCTACCCCAACAGTTAATGTAGAGAAGAATGATGGTTCAATAAGAATTTGTGGAGATTTCCGAGTCACTTTGAATAAAAATTTGGTCCCAGAAAATGCAATTATTCCGACATTTGAGGAACTAACAAACAAAGTTGCAGGCGGACAAGAGTTTTCCATGATAGACCTACGAGATGCATACCTACAAATGGAGGTTGTAGAAGAACACCGAAAGTATTTAGTAATAGCAACGCATAGTGGTTACTATAAATACAAACGTTTACCTTTTGGGATATCATCTAGTCCAGGTATTTTCCAAAGATATATGGAAAGACTCTTAGCTGGGATACCACAGGTTGGAGTTCTTCTGGATGATATTATAATAACTGGAAGGAATAAGAACGAGCATTTACGTAATTTGAGAGAAGTTTTGAAACGAATGAAAGAAGCTGGTATAAAAGCAAAGTCTAGTAAATGCAAATTTTTTGAAGAAGGAGAAGATGTGTGGATTAAGAATGAACATGGAAATGGTTGGTCAGCTGGAATGGTGAAAAATAAAAATGGACTGTACTCATATGATGTACTTTGTGGAGGTGTTATAAAAAGGAAACATGCGGACCAGATGAGACAAAGAATGGGAGCTGTTGAATCCGTGTAAAAAGAAAGAGGGGAAAAGTGTTAGATAGTTAAATGTATAAGTAATTAATACATCAGCTGATTTATTATTATTAAGTTTGTTAGTAAATATTCTGCTTAGGTTGATGTGTTTAAGAATTCAATAAAATGGTTCTTTTATATTTTGAATATCATTTAGTGTAATTCTACAGTAGGTTCCCCCAATATTGTTTTTGAAACACCACGGTTTATTTGACAAAAATAAATTAAGCGAAACAAAGAAATAGCTATTGTTAGCTTCACGGTCAAGCTATCCGCTTGCACTGACAATCATCTGCTCTTTACACAATATCTGTCTGCTGTGCGCTTCCTATCTCACAACAGTTTGTGATTGGGAGATTAGTAACCATGGCAACTTGTTGAATGTGTGGATGAAGAGAAACCAAAGAATGAATAGAAGAACAAAGAAGAAAGAAATAATAAACGGTTTTAAGTCATCCATTGTTATCTTTATCCTATTTTACGATTGTCGTTATTATCTTTAAGACAAAGTACTATGATTTTATGCTGTTTTATGAGCTATCTAATGTTTTTATCGACATTCTTATGTTCTGAAACAACATGTAGTAGTAGCCTATGCTGACTACGGTAGCAGTAGCTTGCAGTACTAGACCTTTTATTGTTCTGTTCTTTACGTGATTAATTGCTGTACGTAGGCCTACACTGTTGTGTAATTTTTGTTTTGCTTGAGTAAGATTGATTTTAAACGTTACAGTTTTTATTACTGAACCAAGGTTAATGACTTAAGATATTATGATTGGGCAATACTATTATTTATATTTGGATTATGTAAAATGCAAATTAATTATCATATTAACGTCCATTTTATACAGTTTTAGGGGTTATATGGGTATGTAATGTATGCTTATGCCATGTTGGATTTACTGTGGTTTTCAGTTATCCGTGGTCTCCCCCCCCATTACCACGGATAATTGAGTTTCTACTACATCCGGTTAGTCCGGCCGTTTTGTAGTCCGGTAAGTGGTCCGGTCCCGAGGTGGCCGAACTAGAGGGAGTCTACTGTAATAACAACTAAAAAATTGAAGCAAGTTGCGTTCTTAGATGAATTGTAATGGCAGACTAGTACACTTCTAGAGAAACCTTTCGTGAGTGAAGACCAGAGTTGGTCTCTTGAATAAAACAATAGCATTGTGCAATGTAGAAGATAAAAGAAGATCAAGATATTGTAATGAGCAGCAGGAGTTAGCCTACGAAAATGTAATTAACTAAAAGTGTCAGTGATTCGGAATTGATCTTGTAGTAGGCTGAACTCGTAACTTATATCTGCAGACAACCACAGTAGATCTTCAACACCGGAAAAAACTGATAAGTAGCCAAACCTAGTGATTTAATATCTCCAGCAT